AGCCACCGTCTCCTCCTCTGCAGCTCCCTGCCCTGCAGCCAACACACACACACACACTCGAACTCGCACCCAACCCCCTCCACCACCCAAAAAAGGCTCCGTGCGTCCCACACTCGTGCGTGCACACACGAGCACAGGCACAGCGGGACGTGCATGCACACGCACAGTCGGTGTGCACCCAGCGAGGGGGGTGAGCACACTCAGCACACCCCTCTTGACATCCCTGGGTTGTGCAACACACACACACGTGTGCACAGCCAGCACCCCCCCTCCCCGCCAAGCACACTGACCCCCCCCAGCCCCACAGGAGTCGTTGGCCTTGGCCGGCCAGCCCTGCCGCACCGCCGTCACCGTCACACCCAACACCTCCCCAGCAGGTTACACAAACAGGCTGCCAGGCACACACGCAGCCGGGCGCACGCTCCCCTCGCTCACACCCACAAACCACACGGGCTCACCCCGGTGCTCGCACGCGCACGCGCGCCCTTGCAGGAAGAGGCACTGGCTTCCCGCTGCCTTTTCCCTCCATTAACTCCCTCCACGGATCCTGCTCGTGGCCCAAAGGGCACCCCACGCGGCACCCACCCCAGCTCCATGCCCCCTGCCCTTGCTTGGTGCGGGAGGAGGAGGAGGATGAAGAGAGTGTGGCACTCGCCCTGCTGCTTCAAGCGCTGGCAGTGGGCACCTGGGGACAGATGCCACCAATGGGGCACCTGAATGACAGATGCCACCGACTGGGGACTGGCACCGATGCCACCATGCAAAGCAGTTGCTTGGACTCGGCACAACACAGGGCGCGGGCACTGGCATGGCAAGGGGAGCAAGCAGGCCTCAGGGCGAAGGGCACAGCAGGCAGCACAGGCAGGGCTGGAAGAGCCAGGATGGAGCAGGGCAATAAACACGGTGGCAGGCGAGATGCCAGAGCCGCGGCATCACCCCGATACAGGGTGCGGTGCCCCCGCTCCCCGCGTCAGGCTGCGGGGCTCAATCAGCAGCGCGGTCCCTCCCCAGCTCCAGCAGCCCTGGGTGTCCAGAAACATGGATAGAGAGGAGTGGTGTGGGGGTAAACTGAGGCACGGCCCCACACAGCACCCTGCATGCCCGGATCAGGCAGCCAGGCAAGAAGGGCCAAGGTCAGTGCCACCGGTCATGGCCCCGCACATCCCTGTGCCCTGCCAGCCATGGGAAATGACCCCAAGGGTCTCTGTGCCAATGTGGGGCACAGGGACTGAATGACTTGGACAACACTGGACCCTGAGCCTGCAACACTCAGTGGGTCTCATCCCCCAGCTGGATCCCCAACTCCAGAGCCACCTCCATCTTCCACACTGTGGGATCCCCCAAGGCCAGGGTGACCTCTGGTCTACCACACCACAGGGTGCCTGAAGCTCAGGGTGATCTCTGTCCCCCACATGATGGGGTACCTCAACTCCATGGCAACATCCACCACTCACACAATAGGATCCTACAAGTCAAAGGTGACGTCCATCCCCCCCAGCACGGGGTCCTCAGCCTTAGGGTAACCTCCATCCCCCCAAACAACAATGTCTCCTCAAGCCCAGGGTGACTGCCACCCCCTGTGTCATGGGGTCCCCCAACTCTGGGGTGACCTCAGTCCCCCACAGGATTGGGTCACCCAATGCCAGGGTGATCTCCATCCCCCACATCACAGAGACCCCCAACCCTAGGCAACCTCTGTCCTACACACCACAGGGTCTCTTAACCCAGGGTGACCTTGGTCTCCCATACCATAGGTTCCTCAGGACCCAGGGTGACCTCTGTTTCCTGCACAACAGAGTCCCCTAACTCCAGAGTGACCTCCATCCCCCACACCATGGGTGCCCCCAAACCCAAAGCGACCTCTACCCTTTATACCACGGTGTCACCCAACTCCAGAGTGACCTCCATTCCCCGAACAACAGTGTCCCCGAATCCCCGGGCAACCTTCACCCCTATACCATGGGGTTCCCCAACCCCAGGGTGACCTCCATCCCCCACTCCACGGTCTCTTTCTGGCGCAGGGTGACCTCTGTCCCCCAAACCACAGGGTCCCCAAACCCCAGGGTGACTTCCATCCCCCACACCGGACCCCCCAACAGAGGGCCTGGGGGGGAACCTGCGGGTGGCAGGGTCACACCAAGCCCATCCCACCCCTCCAGCACAACCCCCACCAGTGGGGGGGTCCCCCTTTCCCCCCTTCCCTACGGCGCTGCTGGGGGGGTATCGCGGCGCGGGAGGGGTCACTCACCCGCGGGCCGCGCCGTCCAGCGGGGGCTGCGCTCCTCCATTGGCAGCGGCGGAGGGAGCGGAGCCGAGCCGTGCCGAGCCGAGCCGTGCCGAGCCTTCCCCCGCCGCTTCCTGCTTCCCTCGGCGCCCGCCCGCCGCCCCGGGAGCCGCACGGCTGGAGCGTGACTCACCGGGGGCCGGGCCGGGCAGGGCAGGGCGGCGGGGGCGGGCGCGCCGGGCACGGCGAGCGAGGCACCGGGGGGTCCCCGAACAGGGATGCTGGGCACGGAGAGACATCCCCTTCGGACACTCTCGGGACCACCCCCTCGGGACCACCCCCCAGTGCAGCGGGGATGGGAGATCCCCCGTGGGGAGGGGGGAGCTCGGGGAGGGGGGTTCCCCTCCCTTCTCAGCATCCCAAGAATTAGGGTGATGGAGGGTAACAGCCTTGACCCCAGAGCACAGGTGTCCCCCTCCCAGAATGCAGAGATAAAGGGGGGTAAGAGGTTTGGGGTGGCATCCTGCCCTCTGACCCCCCCACTCCTAAATTGCTTGGAACTCCAAACAGGCTCTGGGACATACCCCGGATCTCAGGGGTACCAGCTCAGCCCATCACCCAGCACTCAGGGTGGTCCTGAGTCCAGACCCTGTGGAAATAAGGGGTGTTCCCACAGCAGCCCCCTCGGTGTGCCCCAATGCCCTGTTCATCTCCTGTCCTGGGTGCAGGAGCAGGGTCAGCACTGTTCCCCTGAGGTGGGGAAGCTGGTGGTCACCCCTGTGCCATCCCACTGTCACCCTGAGAGCTCTGCCTGCACCTGGGCTTGGGGGCACCAGTGACACGAGCAGGGTGGGGCTCAGCCCACTCACACATGGAGGAAGTTGCCCATCATTCAGCAGCCACAGGTCGGCTCCACGAGACAGACAGGCTTGGCTGGCTCGGACAGGCTGGACCCCCACCTTCCCTGGGCAGCAGGGAGGCGTCGGCAAGGAATCTCATCCTGGCACTGCCAGCTGTGAACTGGCATCTCCATGGGAGTAAATGCAGACCACGACAGTAATGCAGCTGTTACGACAGGGACACCCAGCCATTCCCAAACAAACTGCCACACCACTATCACACCCACCCAAAACCCTTCACGGTTCACCTTCACCTCTTCGCCCCCTCCATCCTCCTCCTCTTCCTCCAACAGGCCCCACGCCAGTGCTGCCGCAGCGCCAGTACTGCCTGACACCCCCCCACCAGTCCTCCTCGTGCTTTTCCCCCCCTCTCTGTCTCCCTTTTCCCGTTCTATTTTAAATTTTTATTGCATTCTTTTTAAAGAATACAGAGGAACAAATGCCCTTATCAGCAATTCTCACAAGGTATAAAGAGCCGCTTTTATCTCCTGCCTTTACTAATCTAGAGCGAGCCAATGCCTGTTAATTTTTTAATTTTCCTAGTGAATGCATTTGCGGCTCCGTCAGCATCCATCCGGACACGCACGCAGGATCCCCTCCGCATCCCAGCCCAGTCACCCCGGCACAGGATTGCCACCATGCTGCCAGAGCGGTGGCTCATGGTTTGGCAACCACCAAGGGGTTTTGTGCACCGGGAAGTCCTGTGTGTCACACGAGGCTCACCGGGACACCCTGGGATGTGTCACCACCCCCAAGACATGGTGGTGCTCTCCGACATGCCAGCCCGACTACGCCTGGCCACAGGGAATGCTGACAGAGTAGGTTAGGTCTCCGTCCTTGGCCTAGGGATGCATTCCATGCCAAGCCATCCAACTGTCACTGTCACCCGCCCTGGCCAAGGTCCCTGTGGGGGCACAGGAGAGGTTTGTCCCTGTGTTCCCCCCCCGGAAGGGATGCAGGCTGCCCGCACGCTGGGGTGGGAGCGCGGCAGCCGGCCACAGTGCACAGATGAGATGTGGCAGGCGTGTAACAAGCCATTAGTCACTGTCACCTTTGCCCGGCAGCCACTGGCAGGGTAATAAATCCCGGGCTGACTCCAGCGGGCCCGTTCCAGGCCACAGCTCCCAGCTTGTGTCCACGCCACTGCTGGCTGGGCTGTGAGCAGCTTGTAAATGCATCCCGACCCCCCTGGGGACACAGCACCTTGCAGGATCCCAAACTAGGGCTGAATCACTATGGGGCTGATTGATGGATGACATGGGCCACCACTTTCCTGGGAAGTGGTGGGGTGGGTCACAAACACCCCCACCAAGCAGTCCCCTGGCCCCCAGGCTGTCACCCCTCCAACTCCCTGTCCACCCCAGCTTCCCGCCCGCTGCACCTTGCGGTTCCCAACTCTTCCCAGCCCAACACCAGGAACCGGCATCGGCAGTTGTTACCGGATCAAAGGAGCCTGGCGTGGCACAGCACAGCACGGCACGGCGCGCCCGCCGGGAAGGGCTGGCAAACAAGCTGGTCCAGGGAGGCGGCAGGCGGGAAGCACGCATGATACCTCTCCTAAAAATGCTGCTGCTCCTGACGGACAGGGAGACCAAGTCCCAGGAGCCGTGGCCCATCCCAGCCCCAGGGGCCCCCCCGACTCCCCAGCACATCCAGCCCAACTCCACGGCTCTCCCTGGCGCCCACGGTCTGACTCATGGCCCCAAGGACAGCAGGCAAGGACTGCAGTGCCATGGGGTCACCTTTCTGGTGGGGCTGTGGGTTTTGAATCCCTATCCCAGGCCTCTGGGTGTGTCGCTGTACCCCACAGTGGGACAGGGGACAGCCCTTGGCCATGGCAGCCTTGTACCCCCCTGGTATCACCCAACATCACCTACTTGTGGTTCCAGCGTCCGCACCCTCCACATCCAAAGCCGTCCGCTGGCCGATGTCCGGGGCAGCGCTGCCCGTCCCCGGGCTCTCCCCAGCGCCGACTGCCCTGGGCTCGCCGGCCACAGGCTTGGTGGTGACTGTCTCCAGGGACAAAGAGGACGCCTGGAAGAGAAGGAGGACAGAGACTCAGTGCCTTTCCCTTTCCCGGCCGGAGCACTGCCGTGCGGGGTGGAGGGCACCGCGTGGGGGGGTTTGGGGTGCACAGACACAAGATGCTTTTGTTTTCCTGCCGGCCGGTGCACGTGGCCGGCGCGGGAGCCGCACGCCAGCCCGCGCCGCGGGGCTACAGCTGGATCCGGCCGATGGCTCCCAGCGCAGCCAGACAAGAAAGGCTGGAGGGGGGGTGAGGACATGAATCAAAGCGGCGTCCCCTCGCCCGCCGGCAGCAGCTGGCTGGTTAGGCAGCTCCCGATTACTCAACCGGGCAGTGTTTACTCGAGATCAACAACCCCTCATCGCCTTCCCTGCCAGGCGGGTGAGGAAAATGTGCTGCTGGGATGGGGACAGCATTCTCGCTGCCCTCCTTGGTCCCCCTCCTTGACCCCTGGTGTCCCCGGGCGCTGCTGTGGCCCCAGGTTTGCTGTAGCTGCCACCCTCCCATGTCAGGCGTGTCCAGGCACACAGCTTGGGCTGTCACCACTCCTCTTTAGCTCTAATAAAGCAACATCCAGAGACACCACGCACATCCCAGCACTGCCATGCCACTCTGGGATAGACACATGGATCACTTAGACCAAGATCTGAACAGGTTCCCAGGATGCTGTGCTCACCCCGGGCACGGCAGGGTGAGGGTGACCTCCCTCCTGCCACAGGTGGCATGCATAGGGGACACTGTGCTCTTGATTTTGGGACATTAGGGCCATGGCTGCAGCATGGTGAGGATTTGATGTTGATCCCATTTTTCCTGGGATTACTCCCACAAACGTGGAGAACTGAAGTGCAACGGTTGTTCTGCTGGAAGCCCTCAGACTCGGTGAGCCACGCACACGAGCGGACATATAAATTTACCGTTTGCTTCCTGGAAAGGTTTAATTTATGGAATCCATATGGCAGCGCCGCACAACCGCAAGTGCTTGGCACATCCCGTGAGTCCTCAAGTGCCGCCACGTACCAGCTCCAACTGGCGGAGTGCCACCGGCTGCCCTGGTCATGGCGGGATGCTCTTCTCTTTCCCAATGATTAACAGAAGGTGACTTTCACAGTGGGCAGGGGACAAGCCCAGGGATCAGTCCCCATCCCTGAATGTGTGGGATCTGTGGAGGTGGCAAGGATGTCTCAGGGAGGATGCCGTGCCACCTCTTCTCCTCATGGGGTAACGCCACCGGTAGCAGCAGGCAGCAATCCCCAACCTGTGGGCATGGGAAAGGGCTGAGGTGCACTTTGATACCCGGAGCAACTAATCATTAATTAGCATTAATCACTCCCTGTCATGCGTCACAGCAGCATTGGGCAAGACACGGCTGGGAAGCGCTGGGCCGGGGTTGTGGTGGGGAAGGCGGATTTTAGCGGCTAGGCCAAGATTGGCATTTTCCTTTTTCTCCCTGGGGACCTTCAGCAGCCCCCCAGGCCCCCCCCTACACTCCAATCCACCCACCAGCCCCACAGCAGTGGCAGCCCCCACTCCCTCTATTTTCCTGTCAAGAGATGCTGAGATGCAAAAGCACCGGAGATGGGTCCCACCTGCCCAAGGGGCAGCCAGAATTTGTCTCCCTCTCACCACCCCTGTCCCCTGGGACCCCCCAGGCTCCAGCATGGAGCACCGGCCGCCTCCTTGCTTTAACTTCACCCAGCGCTATCTGTCAGCAAATCATCCCCGGTTACACAGATAAGGAATAATTGATGCAAAGGAGCCATCTGTTTGCGAACACGGAATATCTGCTCAATTAGGAGGGATCTGTCCACCCAGATAAAGCATGGCGGCAGCCCCTTGGAGGGGGGGGGCCTTCCTCCCCATCCACGTCCTCAAAGACTCACCCCCAATTAGGGGTGAGCGGGTTGATTGGGGTGGTAATTTGCTAAGCAGCACCCTGAGGTGCTTGGCAAGAGGCTGGGAGGGAAGGGTGCTCTGCCACCACATGTTGAAATTTGAGGGGAGGGCTGGTAGCTCCCCCGACGTGTCCCCCTGTGGTGATGCTCAGCTTGTCCGGGGTCTGGGAGATGCTTATCCTGCATCTTCCCAGGGATGGAGAGAGGGAACCAGCATCTGTGCCTGCTGAATGGTGCTGAGCTGAGGTCGGCCTGCTCATGACATGCATCAAGAGAGCTTGCAGATGGACAGAAGGACTGAAAAACGACCCTGCAACAGCTCACAGGACATCCATGGCAGGGGTCAGGGACACAGGGCACAGCCCCAGGCAGCATCCAGGTCAGGGGTAGGTGTGCAGTGAGGTGACATCAATGTGACATCGTTATATGATGTTATTAACACAGGAAAACTTGAGCTTGTATGCAGGACTGCAAGCCAAGGGAGATGGGCACAGATAGCAGGGCAGCTCCACAAGTGACAGAACCATAGAGAAAAGGCACCAACCAGAGGTGGCAGGGACAACCCCATGGCATGACACTCCTCAACCCACCCCTGTGTGGCCTCTGTCCCCATCTATCCCGGCGGGTCCTCAGTATGAAGGTCACAGAGAGCTCAAGAGGGGTCAAAACACAGCCAGTGACCTCAAGGAACAGGCACAGAGAGCCACTGACAGACCCCATGTCACCTGTGTTCCCCACCATCAGCATGGTGTCTCCCAGGTCCCCTCAGTTTGGTGTCTCGGGCAGGCAGCCAGGGGACATGATGGCACCAAGGACAGGGAATGGTGTCCTGTCTCTGGTGTCCTCACACCTATCCCTCCCCAACAAGGGCACATTCCTTCTGCTCTTAGCAGACTAAATACCTGCTGGGGCACTCAGCTCTCCCCCCAGCTTCGGGATGGCACTAACGGAGCAGGAAAGCAAAAGGTGAGGGATCCGGCACACAGGAGACCATGCCAAGGCATTTCCTGTGCCTTCAGGACACCCAAAAACGTGGCTTCCCCATTCCACCTCCCCTGTGCCTCGCCTGCTGCCAGGACGGGCTGTAGCGTGCACAGCAGCGACGCCGCCCACGGGAAATGCCTCCCATGGGAACACCCACCGCCCATGGGAATGCCGCGGGCACAGCAAAGCCCCCGCTGCATCACCCCAACCTCCACCCACCCGGGTGGCAGCACCTCGGAAAACCCCCACGCTTCCAGCAGCCAGAGCACCGGGGGTGGATGCAATCCTGGCACTTTCGGCTCTTGGCTGGCATCACCCCAGCAGGGCGGCGGGCACGGAGCCCGGCGAGCACCGGCACAGCTGCACCGGCAGTGGGGTTTGGCACAACCTGTGTGCCAGCTCCAGCAAACGAGCAAGGCATGAGGTGAGGAGGATGCTCCGCACAGAGGGGCTGTATCCTGCACTTCCTGGGATGCAGAGAGCGCCAGCACCTGGCTGTAAGGCTTGGTGGGGGCAAACCCCCGCTATCTCCCATCTTCCCCCAGGCCTGTGAGGCGGCGCTCAGGATAAAAGGTGTTTTTGGAGTGTTGAGGGCTGTGGGAGTGGGCTTCCCCTGGCTCCTTTTGTCAGTGAGGCCCTGGAGACTCCGGCTCCCGCTGGGGCTTTATCATAGTCACGACGGGCACAGCCCCTGCCGTGTGTTTCCCCAGACGGTTCCAGCTGCTCTTCCCTCCAGGAAGCCTTTGCCCTCCTCATCCTCATCCCAGCCGCCTGAAAACACGGTTTTCCCACAAAAGCAGGTTGGGGTCTCCCTGGAGAGCTGGGGTCCCTGCTTGGTGGCACAGCTTGGCCCCAGTGGGCATCCACAGGAGGGGTGGTGGTTGGATCCGCGCATCCCCGCCGTGTTTAAAGTTTCTCATCCGTGTTTGCTGGCGGAAAGTTGGAACCTGCAATTACAGCTGTGCTAACCCCTCATTAAAACGGGGAGGGGGGAGAAAAAATGGGAAAGAAACAAAGGGCTCCAGAGCGAGACACGGTGCCGTTAACCCTTCCCAAGACTGGGATGTGAACCCCCCAGGAAATTAATGGAGCTGGAGGGATGGGTCGCAGGGGTGGCAGGTGACACTGTGTGCTGGGGATCAGCCCATGAGCACCACTGCCCACCCAGATGCCTGCTCTGTGTCCCAGTGCAGCGGTAATGCTGCCTGTGCCGCGGCGCCCGCGTGGGCACGGTTGCGGCTGTGCCGGAGCCGTTTGTCACGGCGGGGCTGCGGTTCCTGCTCGCTCTCCAGCAGCGACACCGTGACGCCTGCTCCAGGAGCCCACACAATATGTTCGCACTCATCTCGCAGCTGCCCCCAGACAGCCCGAGGTGCCGCGCTCTTCCCCGGCGCGGGGGCCGGTGTGTGCCGGCAGAGCCATGACGTGCCGGCGAGCCCAGGCGGGAACCGGCAGGGATGGAAGGGGCTGGAGACTGTGGTCAGGCTGGATGCCACACAGGGAGACAATGCCAGAAACAGCACCGGCATGGGCAAGGGATGAACCAGTGGCCCCCCAGGCCTGAGCACCCTGACCCAGGGGTCAGGCTGTGCCACCAGGCAGGGAAAGGCCTGACCATGACCCCCGTGTCACAGCCCACCCTGCACTGACCAGTGAAGCATCACACTGGGAGTACCTGGAGTGAAGCACATCCCCCTTGGGGACCCCACTCCCAACAAGGGTCTGACCCTGTACCCACTTCAGCACAACCACAGCCATCCCCGCCCCATTCCCCCATCCCTGGGGAGCAGCGGATCCCCGTGTCACCCTCCAGTCCCCCCCGGCGACACCACCTCAGCGCCACGGCCGCAGTGGCTCTGACAGCAGTTAACGAGCTGCAGGCAGCAATTTGGGTTATATATAGCCCCAAAGTGACTGCATCTAATTGCTCCAGCACGCACCGGCCCCGCCGCGGGGTCCGGGTGCCAGGCGCAGGGGAACGGGGTAGGCGGCACGCACTCAGCCCCCTCCCTCGGTTGTCACCCCGTGTGACCCTCCGGGCACCCTGAGGCTGGCGGGGCGTGAGCATCACCCCATCCACACCGGCCCCAGGGAGCTGGGCTGTTCCCAGAGGCTTTGTGCCGGGCCATAAG